AGGCTTATGTATTCCATATATGATGTCACCCTTAAGTCTCTGGTCCGGGCCCCAGGTCACACTTTTAACACTTTAAATAGACACTGGAGTTGTAGTCTGTCTGCCTGGGCAGATAGGAGATTCACACTGCAAAGATATTGCCAGAATTATTCCTTAAGTACACAAGGGTTGTTTTCTTGCCCAACTAACATAATTGTGGCTTTCTTAAGAGAACCAGGGGCTTTTTATTTAGCAGACAAGGACTCTATGCTTGTCACCCTGCACTGCCCCTTTGAGCTGCCCCTTACAGGCATGCTCTTCAATAAGGGGATTGGCCTAGTGCCCTGTTGTATGAGGGGATTCTCTCCTTTTGTTATGGGAATAGAACCTAACTGGAAGTCAATCTTGGTGATCAAACAATAGTAGAAACTTTCTCAGCAAGCTTAAACTTCAATTATGATACCAATTTCCCCTCCTGTGGTTTCTAACAAGCCTGGTCAGTGTACTAGTTATCTCTAGTCATAATGAGGTTAGTGCTCATTCAGTTAACAAGCCTGCTCAGTGTACTAGCTATCCCTAGTCATATTGGAGTTAGTGCTCCTCAGCTAACAAGTCTGGTCAGTGTACTAGCTATCCTTAGTCATATTGGAGTTAGTGCTCCTCAGTTAACAAGCCTGCTCAGTGTACTAGCTATCCTTAGTCATATTGGAGTTAGTGCTCCTCAGCTAACAAGCCTGCTCAGTGTTCTACTTATTGCCCAGGCATATTGAAGGCAGCACTCCTTAGCTAAATTCAACTTTATGTCACTTAATGTTTCCTAAGCAACTTTACTAGTACATTCTTTATTGTATCAACTTTATTACTTCCACCTTCCCTTGTATCAATACCAGGGAGCTCATTTGTGATGGTCACAGGAACTGCCCAGGGCCAAATACCAGGTAGTGGCACCTGCAGTTCAAACAGCACAGGGCCATCTGGCCCCGTGGTGCAGCACCTGTCCTCTGTGCTGACAGAGGGCAGCTGGGGAAGCATTTTAAAGCTTTGTCTTCAGGACTGAGCACTGGTAACATCTACACTTCCATCCATGCAGTGATGTTTTTGAACACTGGAGAACTACAGAGAGTTGCTGCTGTACTTAAAGCAGGAATCAACATCAGAAGTATCAGCTGGGTGACTCCCCATGGGAGGGAAGGCCTCACCTTTACAGAGGAGGGGTGGGGGATTGGTAGCGGGGGAAGCCTGGGGGGAGCCGGAGGACGGATGAGAGGGCCATCTGTGGTTGGTATGTAAAATGAATAAACAATTTCTTAATAAAGAAAAAAAAAAGGAAGAGCAGCCTTCCCTCTGACTGACAACTGGAATCTCTCTGAGATCCTACTGGAGCCTGTCAGTGAAATCCATGCCCAAAGAGGAGGTGCTACAGCAATTAACTTTGGGACTCAGGCTTCGGTTTCACCTTATCATCTGATGTAAAAGTGTATTTGAAAGCCTGGCTACCACAATCTAGCCGCTTTTGAGATGGCTCTGGGTCTTCAGAAGATGGCTTTCATCCTAGCTCTCTCCAGAATGTGTCTCTGCAGAACCTGTACTGTGTTTTTGAACCCGTCCTGCATAGCTTCCTGTAGCCCGTACCACACCCAGTGATCACACGCCATGGTCAAAACAATACCATGTATCCTGACTATACTGTTTAGAAAAGTTAACTAAGGTTCATGACCATCTAAGACAATTTTGTTACAGGCAGGGAATGGATTACCTTGTAAATGTCTTTGAAGGGATGGTAGCTCATTATGAAGCTGTCAGGACCAAACTCTTCTCTCCTGCTTTCCTTAAGTCTGAAAAGATTATTCTCCCTTTATTTCCTATTGGAAATTCTGCTGTCTCTAAGGTTCTCTGATTCTCTCTTCATGCTTAGAATTTCAATATTTTCAGGTTGTCACACATACTGGTACAAAGTCAGATATCTAGTGTTAGCTTTGCTTCTGTCTTTTCCTCTAGATGCTTAAAGATACACTTCTAGTCTGCCATTCGACCATCTAGTGACTTCTTTGCATTCACCCTTTGGACTGGACAGTGTTACTGAACATACAAATTCAAGTACAGATATTTCTTTCCATTTTAACTCACTGTCTGTGAGCTCCACTCTTAGGACTCTAATTCTCTTCATTTTTTTAAAACCAAAGACATTTATGTGGAAACTTCCTAAGTCATCTCTCTGCTCATTGACTGCTTAATTCTAAGCTACTGTTGTTCAGATTAGATGTTTCCTGCCAATCAACTTGAATGTTTATACCTATATTTTCTTCTTATTGTAGCTGATCATTTTGCATTCTTAATTAAAAAATTGTGGAGTTTTCTTTCTTAAATTTCTAAATGGTTATATTTCTTTTTTAAAAATTATTGTTCTCTTGTGAAATTATTCATATTTTCCCTTTTGGGATAAGGCTTTGCAATATAGCCCAGGCTGGCCTTGATCTCCTAGAGATCCACCTGCCTCTTGAGGACTGGGATTAAAGGCATGTGTCACCATACCCAACCCATCTTCTGTTGTTGTCTTAGAAATAAGTTATTTCCATTCTAAAGCCATTGTTGGGTAACTTCACTATCTTAATCATCTCTCGGTCTCTTTCTGTCCTTGTTTGTCTTTTCTTAGGTTTGGTCAGTATACAATATATGAATTTTTGTGAAATCTGAGCAATGTCATAGCTAGGAAGGCATTTTCTCAAACATCTTCCTTCCTGATTGCCTCCATAGTCCACTTAAAGAAATCATGACTCTTCATCCTTTTAACCTTAATTACTTAACATTAAACACAGATCTACCTCTTAACTGTACCACAGTGACACCCATAAGAAATACTTCCCTTTTATCTTTGTTTTATTTTATTTTATTCCTTTATTCCTTTCTCATACATTACATCCTGATCACAGAACCAGTCATTAAACATCTCCCAACCAAAAAAAAAAAAAAAAAGCCTACTGGACTTTCGAAGAAGAACTAATACCAATACTCCTCAAGTTGTTCCACAAAATAGAAACAGAAGAAACATTGCCAAAATTATTTTATGAGGTTACAGTTACCCTGGTATCTAAACCACACAAAGAAAGAGAATTGCAGACTGATTTCCCTCATGAACATAGATGCAAAAAATACTCCCAAACCAAACACATCAAGATCATCCACCATGATCCAATAGGCTTCATCCCAGAGGTGCAGAGATGATTCAACATACACACAAAAAAAATCAGTCAATGTAACTTACCACATAAACAAACTAAAAGAAAACAAACAAACAAACAAACAAACAAACAAACAAACAAAAAACATGATCGTTTAAGATGTTGGCCAAAGCCTTCAACAAAATCCAACACCCTTTCACGATTAAAGAGATCAGGGAAACATGGGACACATCTGAGCATAATAAAGGCAATTTACCTCAAGCCAATAGCCAACATCAAATTAAATGGAAAGAAACTCAAAGCAATTCTGTTAAAATCAGGAACAAGACAAGGCTGTCCCCTTCCTCCATATCTACTCAATATAGTACTTGAAGTTTTAGCTGGAGCAGTATGACAACTGAAGGAGATAAAGTAGATCCAAATTGGAAAGGAAGAAGTCAAAGTATTGTTATTTGTAGATGATATGATAAGTATGTGTAAGTGACTCCAAAAATCCTATCAGATCCTATCAGGGAAATTCTACAGCTGATAAACAACTTTAGTGAAGTGGCTGGATACAAGATTAACTTAAAAAAATCAATAGCTCTCTATACATAAATGATAAATGGGCTGAAAAAGAAATCAGGGAAACAACACCCTTCACAATAGCCACAAATAATATAAAATATCTTGGGGTAACTCTAATCAAGCAAGTGGAAGACCTGTATGAAAAAAACCTCAAGTCTTTCAAGAAAGAAATTGGAGAAGATATCAGAAGATGGAGATTTCCCATGCTCATGGATTGATAGAATCAACAAAGTAAAAATGCCCATCCTAACAAAATCAATCTACAGATTTAACTTAATCCCCATCAAAATCCCAACACAATTCTTTATGGACCTTAGAGGAGCAATACTCAACTTCATGTGGAAAAACAAGAAAACCTTTTTATCCTTTATCAAGTAGTTCTTCAGGACCCTTCTGAATAAATATATGTCTACCATGCAATTTTGCCATTAGATACACTCAATTGTTTAATCAATTTTAAGCTGACATATTAAAATTATAAAGCTGATATATTACTCTAGAATCGTTTTATGGGATCTTAAGAGCAAATCATATTCACATTAGCAAATAGCAAGATCTTAGGAAAAAAATCTAACTTTAACTCCCATTTTTACAATTGCCAAAAGAAAGTCAATTGAAAGATAGTTGACTATAACGACTAAATACCAAGTACAAAGAAAGAGGGACACAGACATAAAATATGTTAATTTGTACATGTTGCTTGTCGTATAATCAGTGCTATATATTAGGAATAAATGGTCACAATGATATAAAATCAGTAACTATTGTTCTCAATGTATCAAAAATTCAGAATTGTCTTAAACTTTACAATAATAAAGGAAAAGCTAGAATATATTATTAAAGGACATTTTCATCAGCTCCTTTTATTTGTGAATTCTCAGTGGCACCTGAGTCTTAGGAGAGTGAATGTAGCAGAATCTGCACCACTGGTATAAAACAGATGCACAAGCCACCCAGCCCTGAGCAATGCAGTGAGGGTTACAGTAACCAGCCAGTCCTGAGTAACCTGGTTAGGTTCATAGTCATCGTGCTTCCACAGAGCTTATTCAAAATACAAATCAGTTCGAATTGCTCCTATCTTACCCAAATGTAAACCTTTAGCCTATTTTCATCTTTGAATCAGCTGGTTTGTCTTAAATATGGTCCTGAGTGCTCTTTGCTAAGACTCATCATAAAAATGCCATGGAAATCCATCATGGCTTGGCTGGAGCTCAGAAAACAGGAGGTAAAGGTCAATTTTCACTGTCCAAAGGTGACCTCTTTAAATGCTCCTACCTGCAGACGTTGCCACGATTTCTGTAGTGTTTCTGAGGCCCATGAAGTCAAACTGATAGAGCCGCCAAGATTTCTGATCAGCTGCCTCAACCGAATTTTTCCTCCAACGATAAATCATTTCTTCCTTGGGGTAGCCATCTAAAAGTAGAGCAGATATCAGCACCTGAAGATTTAGATTTATAAAAAACATTATGTCACTGGGTAGTGGTGGTGCATGCCTTTAATCCCAGCACTCGGGAGGCAGAGGCAGGTGGATCTCTGTGAGTTTGAGGCCAGCCTGGTCTGCAGGGCGAGATCCAGGAGAGGCACCCAAACTACACAGAGAAACCCTGTCTTGAAAAACAACAACAAAGAGAAGGAGGAGGAGGAGGAGGAGGAGGAGAAGAAAGAAAGAAAGAAAGAAAGAAAGAAAGAAAGAAAGAAAGAAAGAAAGAAAGAAAGAAAGAAAGAAAGGAAAGGAAAGGAAAATATGTCAAAATTTGTTTCTGATCATCTAATAGTAATTACAATTTTAGGGCCTGTTTCTTCTCTAATTTTTTTAGAGACACAGAAACCCCAAACATCAAAGGGAAAATGACCCTTTACAATACCACCTGCCTTCAGGAGGAACAAAGGAAAGTCAGGAGCCCAGCCATGTCTCTATGAGTGCAGTAAGTAGGAGACAACTATCCACATTTCTTTAACCTTGAACCATGGTGGTGATTTGATCTTCTGAGAGAGAAGGTGTTTTCCAGTGTTAGCATACCCACCAGCTCTGTCATCCTGGTCTAAGCACAATCTCTACATTTGTATTTCCCATAAAACCATGGGGGTGGAGCAATTCACTGGAGTGTGGTTGACCTACTAGGAACTATACCCTTAAGGAAAACACAGCTTCCTACTCCAGAAGCCAACAACTATCAACCGCTTCTGGGCTAGGAGTAGGGGCTATTAACAACCCCCACCTAGTGAGAGAATGTTGACTGGCTTGATTTTGTGTAGGTCTTGGGCAAGCAAGCATAGCTGTTGTGAGCATGTCATGAGTGGCAGTGGTCCTGTCGTGTTGAGAAGACATTGTTTTGCTCTAGACTTCCCTAACTTCTGGCTCTTACAACTTTTCCAACCTCTCTTTTGAGGTGGTACAGAGGAAACACCTAGGCAGAGCTCAGGGCCTGCACTCACCACTCTCCTCACTGGTCTCCCATGGTTCTCAGCTTCAAGTTCTTCAACTTAGGCATGCTCATAGCTGCATTCATATCATAGAGCACACAATAACCAAACCCAATTCCTTAGGCTGATCACCTTCCAAAGACTTTGCTGCCTTGATCTTAACAGAAATTCAGGTGACCACAGCTTTTCAACAAGCATCACAGCAAGAATTGCTGGTGCTTTACAAACCTGCATGTCAGTTATATTTTCCCAAAGACCTTATATTTACTCTTTGGCAGAACATTTTATAAGATGCCACTTCCTCTGAAGTAGGATTTATAGTCAATGATCACCCTCCAAACTAAAGCCATTCAGGCTTTGCAGCCCATCCGTGGACAGAAGCCACATCAGGCTGGAGCCAAAACCTCCTTCCAAAGCTGTTGTGCAGTCTGGCAGCTCACTTGCAGAGAACCAGACCTTGTGGTTTGGGTTGTGAGCCTAGCCTTGAGTGGCTGAGCCACCTCTCCAGCCCGAGAATTGAACCTTTATGGAGACTTCCCGTCGATATCTCTTTTCTCCCTCTTGACATTTTGTGTATGATAAACTGAATTGAAAATTTTAATATAAAACTTACCATTCATATCTATGTTTCTTTTGTTTGTGTGCTTAGATAAGACAAAAGTGCCTTCTTAAATGCTCAAACACTTCTGAATTCTGATTACAGTTAATTTGTGGGTCATCCCCACCCCCTGCTTTATATCTAAAGACTGTGCGGGCCAGTCTTGCTTTGCATTCATTCTATGCTCAGCCTACCACTCTAAGTAAGGATGTTCTGCTCAGAGGTACCAAGTTCATGAGATCAACTGCTGGACTCGGGATCTCTGAATCACAGGTTTCCCCTTACATTTAGTCATGGTCATCAGGGCTCTCCCACTATGACTCAGAGGCTAGCTTCACAAAGCTGGAATATTGTCATGTTCTCCCCTCTCCATGTGTTCCAGCCCCTAGGAATATCTTCTCTTTGAGGACTAGATTCTGAGTCCTATTGTATAATCACAGCAGGGGGAGAAATGCACCTCTGATGGCCACACTGCTTTCCATCATCATTGAAGCCAGCGGGCTAGCTGGTCTTGGTTTGATTTTTTCCTTAAGGTGGACCTTGCTGTGTTGCCAACAGACTGACCCCAAGTTTCCCACCTTGTCTACTCAGGGATGCTCAGCACCCTGCTGGGCTTCCCTTATTTCTCTCTTTAATTTGTTTGTTATTCCTCCTGAGGTTGTTTTGGTCAGGGCCTTTCTTTTTTACTGACCCTGTTCAAGGTAGTCACAAATATTGTTGGCTAATTATTTTTTTTCTTGACTTTTTTCTCTCTTTGCATTTTGTTGCCAATGTTTTAAAGAGAAAATGTCTGTGGTTAGAAAACCGCAGTTTTCATATCATCAAAGGAAAAGTCCAGCTTTCCTCCCTTCCCTCTGCTTGGCTGTTCACAGTGTGGTTGCTGAAGTGTGAATGAACTCTGGAGCATGCCCCTCCCTGTCTCCTATGAATATCCATCCCATCTTCAGTTCCTTGGTGTGATTCTCAGAAATAAACCATTTTCCAATTTCTGAAGCACTATTCAGAACACTGTAAAATGGACAGGAGGCTCCACCCATCATCTCAGCTTATTTTTTGTTACTATAAGAACATAACTGAGGTTGGGCATATTAAAAATGAAGGGCTCTTATGTAGCTTATAGTTCTGGAAGCTTAAGGGCATGGTGCTGGCATTAGTTTCTAGTCAGGGTCGCTGAGCAGATGACACAGACACCATGTGGTGGTGGCATGTGTGCTCTAGCAGTGGAAGTGCAGGCAGAGAAGGTGCATGAAGTCACTTTGAGAAGCAAACTGGAGCTGCCTTGCTTTGTAATGACCCTCTCTCGAGATGGCTGACCCTGTTCTGGGAGCACAAGAGCTCATTCACTCAGAACAGCACAAATCCCTTCAAGCATCATCAGCAACAATGCAATACTGGACAGTGAGGCTCAAGTTCTGGTAGAAACACAACCATTCAAACCATCGGCACATACACCTGGCTTCTGGCTGAGACACAACCATTCAAACCATCGGCACATATACCCGGTGCTAATTTGTTAAGTGCTTTGTGCTTTCATTGAAAATCGAGATTGATATCATGTGAATGTAAAATTTCCCCTATGGACTTGTGTCTTGAGCCATTAATCCCCAGATGGTGGCAGTATGTGAGAAAGCCATGGAATCTTCAGTATGTAGAGCCTTAGTGGAGGAAGTAGGTAACCAAAAGGTGAAGTTTAAAGGCTGACAAACTCCACTTCTTATACATTATCAGCTTCTTGATCTTTGGATGCAATGTGGCATGCTTCTCCCACCAAACATATGAATCCTTCATCTCTTAAGTTGTTTATTCCCCCCTCAGGTACTTGGTCATTGTAATAAAAAGGTAAATAATTTGCGTTGACCGACAAATCTCTCCCACCCACCTCTTCCCAAATAACCACTCAGAGGCTTATATTACTTACAAATGTTTGGCCCATGGCTCAGGCTTATTACTAGCTAGCTCTTACATCTTAAATGAACCTATTTCTATTAATCTATGTATTGCCACGTGGTTGTTGCAGTAATGGTATGCTGGTATGTTGCTCCCTGAGTGGCTGGCTGGTGTCTCTTCTGATTCTGCCCCTTGTTCTTCCTCTATTCAGTTTGGCTTTCCTGCCTATCTATATTCTGCCTGGCTACAGGCCAAATCAGCTTTCATTTCTGTTGCTGTGATAAAATATTCTAACAAAAAACAACTGAAGGAAAAAAAATGGGGTTCTTCAGCCTACGGCTTCAGATAACAGTCCATTACTGAGAGTAAGTCAGGGCAGGAATTTAGGGCAGCTAGTCACATCCACAGTCAAGAGCAGAGAGAAGTGAATAGTCCCATGATTTCTGGCTTTCATTGGCTTGTGTTCATCTGCCATACATAATTCATGACCTCCTGCCTAGAAAATAATGCTGCCCAAAAAGGGTTGGGTTTTCTTATGTCAATGAACAGTCAAGATAATCCCCTACAGACATTTCCACAGGCTAACCTGATTAGATAATTCCTCATTAAGACTTTTTAAACCCCAGGTAATTCTGGGTTGTATTAAGTTGATAGTTAAATCTAGGAAGCACACAATTCAAAGGTCTATGATTTCTCTCACACACATCACAGCTGAATTGTGATGCCTAATTATCAGTTTGTGAACAGTAATCATTAGTGTATCCTAGGGATATTGTAGTCTTGTACAGGCACTGTATGCCAGAAAAAAATCAAACACTTGCCATCACCATAAATGATCACTGTAAACTCACAAATCTTAGAATTTTTTCATCTTTTTGTCTTATCTACCTCTAAAGAAAATATGAAGATAATTTATTTTCTTAAGTAACACTAAACATACCAAAGTCGGCATTCTTAAGGAGAAAATCAAAGAGCTGTAACATGGAGTTATTTAGATCCACCACAAGGAAAACTCAACAAGCTGGCCAACTATATAGAAGGGACTCTTGTAAGAAATGCAAGAACTATCAACACTAGAGTGTGCAGACTTTATGGGCAGCGACTAACCAGGTGACTAGAGAAAGCAGGAGACACTGTGCCTGGCTGTCTGTTAAGGAGCCCATGACAACTTTGTGAGGTTAAGACAGTGATACAACAGAAGCATCCATCTTCCAGGAGTCAGGTGAAGTCTGTGTTAGAGAAGCCATGCAGTGCCTTGTGTTTGTCTCAATAAATAGGCGAAGCCCCAAAAAAACAGACTGATGCCATGTAGCTTATGTACTAGGTTCCTTGCACCCTTTGAAGGGTAAAAATAAAGCTTATTTAGCTAATTAAATAGTTGTTTTGAAATTCAGTAGATTTGCAAAAAAAAAAAAATTGCATGGCATGAATTCTCAGAAATTCTAGCACCGAGATGGTGTGGTGGCATATTCTTGTAATCCCAAAATTTGGGAAGCAGAACCAA